TTGTGGCGAAGAGGGGGAGTGATATAGACTGTATAGAAGCGTCTTCTGTAGAGAAGGGCATGTCATGTAGAGTATACGACATGGGCTGGAATGATTTTTGGAATGCCTACATGTGCCTTAGAACGTGTACTTTAATGATGTTTGGAAAGGGTCCATGTACTTTGTAAATTTTGGAAAGCTTGCGTGTACTTTGCAATTTTGTTCGACACGAATCAGCGTTCGTGTAGGTCTTCGGCTTGAATCAGCTTTCGTGTAGGTCTTCGACATGTTCGTATAAGTGGTAGGGTTTGTTTCAGGTGTGATGCAGGACTTTTCGGCTTGTGGTGAAGTGATATAGACTATATGAAAGCGTCTTCTGTAGATAAATGCATGTCATGTAGGCTTTACGACGTGGGCTGGAATGATTTTTGGAATGCCTACATGTGCCTTAGAACGTGTCCTTCAATGACTTTTCGGTATGCTCCATGTACTTTGTAAATTTTGGAAAGTTTCCGTGTACTTTGCAATTTTGTATTGTTTTATTTTTGAAAACGACTCTGTGTACTTTGCAATTTGCCATTGAATGATTTTTTTGCATTGAATGATTTCTGAAAACTCTCCTTGTGGTGTGCAACTGCACCTTTTAGAAAAATACTAGGCAACTTAAAAGCGATGACAATTGTTAATTATAGGAATGGATGTGTATCTTCTCCACACAAAGATTTGATGACATTTTCACCGGGTAATATACAAATGACAAGCCAACGTCCATATTAAATCATCGCGCTGATGGTGTGCGCACCTGCTTCTCCATCTAAGTGCGAGTTCAATCTCACTTCAGGTGTGACCGACGAGCACCCTGCAACTATTTCCCTCTCCCTTTTTTTCAACTGCACCCTCCATCTAAGTGCGAGTTCATTCGCACTTTGAATGAACGGATCGCACTTTGCTTCAACTTCACCTTTACGAAAACAACAGGCAAACTGCAAATGTTTCCCTCTCTCCTTCTCTCCCGACTTCCGCAAACGAACCGCCGGTAAGCACACGCGGTCATCCACCACCATTTTTGATAGCCGAAAACGACATTCCAAACATCAGGCTGCGGATTGCGGTGGACATACTCGAAGGATTTTAAAATACGCGAAGTTTTTTATTCGAAAGGCCATAAGCAAAAGTGCGAATCTATTGCCACTTGGTCTACCAGCCGGCCGGTTCGAGTTGTGCTGTTGTTTTGATGAGGTAGCGGATTGCAGTGGACGTTTTGATTAAGTAAACACTTAGGTGTCGATGTGAATATCCCAACCTCGTACTGTAGCATTTTTTAAAGGGTTCTTCATTTCAAGGAACCTGTCAAGTTTACTCGCAGAACTTTCGGCAGCGTCATGCTGCCTTTAATTGTTTTTAGGTTGTTTTTATTCCTTGCCGCGCAACATCAGCTAGAGGGTTGTAGCGGACACTTACGTGAAGTAGAAAGCTTAGATGTCGATGTAAATATATCAGCCACGTGGTGCAGAACCTTTTAAGTAGACGCTTAGATATCGGATGTGAATATCCCAGTTTTGTGCTCTCTTTGTTTGTTTCAGGGTTGTTCTCCTTATATCCTCTACGACCGCGGCGGCGTAGTGCTACGTTTGTTGGTTTCCAGGTAGTGTTCCTGTGTTAGTCATGGGACATCTTCGTCCTCTTGTGGAAATTCTTCACACTCATGCTCGTGGGGCTCGATACTCTGGTTCATTTAACAAGATGTTAGTGAAAGATATCAATGATTTCTTCTTGGTCGCCAAATCGTTTCGTGCTTATCTCTTTCTTACGCGAGACTTTGTGGTGTGAAAGCCCCCCCCCCCCCCCCCCAACTGCTCATCGATTCCAGGAAGATCTGCGAGATCCCGACTTGGGAAAGATATTACAACCACCGTAGTCTAAGTCGCGAAACTGTGGACAACATCAAGGGTACGATGCTGAGTCGATTCCGCGAGAAAAAATGGGAAGGTCTGGACGAAAAACCCTCTGGTCTTGGCACCCATCTACAAGCCGGTGAAGCGTTGGCCGGAGAAAGCTGGCAGGGTTCACAAAGATGTCTTCAAGCCAAAGGACAAGGACAAGTACTACTATTACCCTGTTAACGGACAACACACCGTGGCTGCTGTGAAAGAGTTGGAGGGTGAGCCAATATTCAATTTGTGGAAGATGCACTCGTGGCCGGCGAGAGTAGTGTGGTTCTCCGACCAAGATTTGGCGGGGTATGTGCAGGTCGGTCTCAACGAGAACACGAGACACACGATGTCTAAGCACTGATCGCAGAAGGCCGCGTTCTTGGACATGCGGGAGGCATGGGAGAATGAAGAAAGGCCGGTGGCCATTCAAGGGAACCCTTCCGGCAAGGAGGCCGAAAAACAAAAGTTCTTTGATTTCGAAAAGCTGATTTTGGGAAAGAGTCCGAACGAAGCTCACTGGACGTTGGCACAAAAAGATTCGTCGCTCGCCGACAAGGAGTATGCCGCTGCAGTTGGCAATGCATTGAGGCAGTGGATGCCGCTCGTGACGGCCAGTGAAGACGTTTTCCGCAAAGCCATGGAATTCTACGCGAAATGGGCGGAGGGGAAGTTGTTGGGCGACGACGGCAAGACGCCATTGTCGAGGACGGGCAAATATATGCCAGACAAATCTCTGGGTCTGCAAGCGATTCCGGAAATGGGCTCGAAAGGAGCGGCTGGTGAAACGAAGATGGGGTGGCTGGTCCGGGTCCCGCCGCCTCCGACCAAAAAAAAAACGCAAGCGGACGACAAGTTTTTCGTGGTCGTGAAGGAGCCAGACATGTTCTGTTGGCAGTGTCTCGCCGACCTGACCGATGCCGGGAAACTGTCGATCCTTGACGACATTCTCGCGCTAAGGGGAGTGTTCGTGCAATCTGCGGGCAGCCATCTGAAGCATCAGCACAAACCAGGAATTAAAGACATGGTCGCGACGAGGGAAGTGGACCTTGTGATGCTCCGTATGTTTCACTACATCTTGTTCCTCGAAACAGAGGAGGACGAACGTGTTTGGCGCCAAGGGAGCCCTTTTTCTTCGGACCGAGGGGAAACTTCTGCAGGAGTACGAGCCGCAGGGCCTCACGAAAGATGTGTGGGTCAAAATGTGAAAGCATTTCCAGGGCGCGGTGGAGTACAAAAACACTTGCAAATGTACTCTTCCGCACGAGAAGGAGTCCCTCGCCGACGCGAAGAAATTGTACGATGATGACAGGTTCCCTAAATCTTTCGAAAAGTCTGTCTGTTCTATCTTGCGACGAACGGAAGAAGAAGTTCGAGACACGATCAGGGTCAGCGGGGATGTGAGGCACATCAAATGGCCCGACCTCAATCGGGTGACCAGCCTTATTCCTTTCGCTTTCCCGCCTTTCTAAGCTCACAATCATGTCACTGCGATCCGTGAGGTTTTGCGACATTACGTGTGCAACCTGTACGTCCTCGATTTGTGTGATCCCACACTCCTCACAGACTGGCGAGAAGACGATTTCGCCAACTTGCAAGGCCTTCTACAAACACTTTTGCCACCGCACATGGCACTTGTGATCTTTTTCCCCTCTCATTGGGAACTCAGTTTCTTTAAAGGCATGGCCAGGCTTAGCGTCCATCACGTCAGGACAGGGAAGTGGGTACGTAATGCACAAAAGCAGGCCACTCTCCGGGAAAGCAATATGCTGGTTGAGGAGTGGGACCGCCTCTACGTGATTTTTAATGGCGAGAAGCTGGAAGACAACACATTCGCAGTCTTCCCGACCAGTAGCCCGACAAAGGTTTCCCGTGCTCATGGTCCAAGTCCGGCCAAATATACGGTGGCGGGCCCATCAGGACAGGCTGTGGCGTGTTTCGACGTGGCGAAAGAGGAAAGGTTCTCTTGTAGCATGTGGGAGGACGGCGGCGTGACAAGTTCAAGGACCTGCTTACGGACCTGCTTACGGGGAGATGGAGCGGAACTCGTCCCGTCTACTTGGTCTACTCGTACACTTTTCCAAAGCTGGTCAAACTGTTTTTTTCTTTGGGAAGGCGCATGCGTCTGTCGTGTGGGAACTCCTGCGCACCGGTCGGAACGTCGCCGCGTTGGAGAAGGAGGCGAAGATGATCGATTACCTTCACAAGTTCGTGAAGGCACGCGTTGCAGACACTCGCAATGCTTGCGAGTTTGCCCGCACCACCGGCGAACGAAACTGGGATCCCAAACGTGATATGTATTGGAAATTGTCGGGGAACAAAAGGACGGACATTTGAGACTTCCTTTTCGGACCCACACCGCCACGTCCGACCGACCTCGAATAGAGTCGACGGAAAAACCTGGTGTTTGCTGTGCTCAATGGGTACCACGGTGCACCCAGGGAGTCTGTCTCGCACTTCCTGAGAAGGCTGGAGCACGTTTACTTCACGCTGGCCGAACCGCTCACTCTCGAAAACTACAAGTCACAGTTTGACGAGGAGGACTCTTTTGACGCTGACGACATGGAGGAGCTGAGCGACTCCGAAACCTTCGATTTCGAGTCCATGCCACTTCTTCGGGTGGTTGGACAGGTTGGTGATGAAGAGGAAGGTGGCCCTCGGAGATATAGCACGTCCCCTGCCTGTTTGAAGCGTGTGTTTCGGGGCGAACCAGTCGACGACCAATCGTCTGATGACGGGGAGGAAGAGAGAGATTATGATCACGAACCTTGTGACAGGCTCCCTGTGGACCATGACACCTGGCAGAATGACAGACTCTACTTCTTCGGCAAGCATCACCGGTTCACGTCGGAGGATGTCTGGGGACACAACGTCGTCTGGCACCCGAGGATATTCCAACCTGCTGTGAGGAATGGAATATGGGTCATGGCAATAAAGGAGGCCGATGGCAAGTGGAGTGGACTGAAGAGACTGGGAGCGGGTGCATTTAAGAGAAAGGCAAGAACTGCTCTGGTGGAGCATTTGAGTCTCATGAACCCCGAAAGGAACGATCAGGACGTTGATGCGTATGCAATACAAAAGCGACATGAGTTGTACGCCAACAACATGTTGGAGTTTCGAGCGCCTTTCTACGCACTCGAAACGGCACCGTCTCGTGCCATTGACTAGTGCATGCCGCAACCTCCGCCGGGCGGTCAGCATCCGGGAGGAGGTGGTGGAGGAGACGAGGGAGACGGCGAAGGTGGCGGAGGAGACGACTCACAGTTTGCCGTAAAGGGGACGGGCAAGATATCGTCAGTTGAGAAGGCATCCGGCGGAAAGGGGTCAGGCGGAAAGGGGTCGGGCGGGAAGGAGTCGGGCGGGAAGGGGTCAGGCGGAAAGCGTAGAATGTCCGGGAGTCCCCCGTATATGGAAACAGACCCCTACTGCGTAGGGAGTCGAGATTTCGACATGCAAGACGAGGCCACCTTGACATCTGATCAAGTGCGAGTAGATCCGCACTTGTCTGCGAGGAGTTTGTTTCCCGTTGCCCAGGAGAGTCCATCCCGCCGTGCGCAGCAGAGGTCTCCTGTGCTCAACACCTTGCTCTTGAAAGAGGGCGCGTCTTCATTTTGCCTGGCGGGCAGGATGCCTGCATTGCGAAGGAGCGAAGGTGCGACCTCCGGTTCCCTCGGCTCAGACAACCGCCACAATCTCCGAATACATTCGGATTTGCTGTCGTCGCCCTACGCCATAAGTGCTCCTCACGCAACAGTTCCGTGGGGCCAAGAAAATGTGACGTCCTGGCCCCCGCATCTTCAGTTGGACACAGGGTTACCCTGCTCATGTGTTGAGACTCGAGACTGGCGGTCTCGGGACGTGCTGGAGGGCCCCGCTCCAGAAGTGTTAGAGACCGGGGGTAGCGAGAACGGACGTCACACTCCTGGGGAAGACGAGCGCTCTCCGGGAACGCGCGCTGTACATCGGGAAGAGGAGACTCAACGCTGGCAGTCTCGCAAAGTGTTGGAGACCGGGCGTAGCGAGTGTGAACGTCATGCTTCGGAGGGTGCGTCCGTGGACACTGACAGCGAGAGTGCAGGAGCTTCGGGGGAAACTTATGTTGTAAAGCGGGGAGAGGAGACTCGACACGGGCGGGCTCGTGAAGACGTGAAGTGGCTCCACGCACGAGCGCTGGTGATCAGGAGGTCCGAAGAGGTTCTGCACAGTCGCTCGGTTGTGGCCACGATGCGAGAGGGTATCATTAAGGGAGGTTAGTGGACGTCCTTGCAAGCTCCCGTTCTTGGCCACGATGAAGACGAAGAAAAACCCGCGGTGGAAGCGCGGCTTCATGGCGATGAGAAAGGCGGAGAACCCGTGGTGGAAGGCGGTGAGGTGACTTTCGATATCCAGACGGATCCACAGCGGAAAGATGGTGATTCTTCGCCCACCCGTTGCGGTGAAGAACAGGGTGGTCGAGCATCTGTCCTGAGCACCGCTCGGGGAATGGTGCTTCATGAAGCCACAAAGTTGCGTGACGACTCGGCAGCCACTGAGCTGGTTAGCAACTCAAGCGTGGCCGAGATGCAGGATGTTGAATTCTCCGTGGAAGGCGGTGAGGTTGCCGTCAGCATCACGATGGATCCAGAGCGGAAAGATCATGATTCTCCGTCCACCCGTTGCGGTGCCGAACAGGGTGATGGAGCATCTGTCCTCAGTACCGGTCGGGAAATGGTGCTTTATGAAGCCATCGACTTGCCAAGCGACTCAGCTGCCACCGAGCTGGTTAGCGACACAGCCATGGCCGAGGTCCAGAACCTTAAATCGTCCGTGGACGTTGGCGCAGTGGCGCGACAGGAGGGCGAGTTCCCTCAAAGGGCTCCCGAGCACAGTAAGATTTGAGAATAGGACCACTCGCATATCTGTCACTGGCCAGCTCTGTGTTCGTCCAAATTGATGTCCTGGGCTACTGTACCTATTACCACTAGTTAAAAAAAAAATTGTGGGTTATGGGTTGTTTTCTATGTTCTACAGGTGTGAGGTTGTTAATGTCCCTGCCCATGAAGCCTTTAAAAGCCGTGCGCGAGAAAAGTCTTTCACGGAGGTCATTGGCCGCTTCACCGAAGAAGTCGTAAAGTATAGGGTTGTTTAAAAGGGTCCAGATGTCTCGCCTTTCCCAGAGAGCTGTCAAGGTTTTAAAGGCTTGTGGAATAGATGAGGAGGAAGGTCTACGGAAACATTTGGCTGCGTCTATTTAGAGCGTTACTGCTTTGTCTGACGGGTCTGATGACGATGGCAAACGGGGTGTCTTGAAAGACTCGTGTCCTAAGTACATCGAGAAGGACACATTCAACAAGCGGGGATTCAACTTTTCTAGGAAAAGGGCAGACAGTTCTTAGCCATTCCACCATGAGGTTTGTGCTCACTCCTCACACTCGTTCGTGGGTGTTTGTGCAGCTGGGGCTACATCATGTTTTCGTGTTCCGTTGCCTACTGAGAAGCTTAGCGCTACGGATTTGAGAATGTTGCGGAACGTCTATGGAGATTAGAGCAACGGCTACGAGGTGATTTGCTCGGTTCTTAAAAGGGTCAGTTCAATTCTGTTGAGCAAAAAAAGTCTTCAAACTCTTGTTCATGGGGAATGGCTTTCCGACGAGGTGGTGGAGTCATACTTGGCCTTGCTTGCCAACGCTGCGTTGCCTGGGTGTCCCTCTCTTTACATTTTCAGTTCATTTTTCTATACCAAGCTCGTCCGTGGCGGCTATCGACATGATAGGGTAGGGAGATGGACAAAAGATGTGGATATTTTCTCGCACGAGATGGTCTTGATTCCTGTCCATAAACATGGAGTGCATTGGACCCTATTGTGTCTTCGAGAACAACGGCTGGAATACTACGACTCCCTCGTAGAAGACGATGGCGGTTTTTCTTTCGATGTGATTGCAAACTTCACGCAATACCTCCGTGACGAAGCAGTTTGTCATTATGGTCCTAAAATGAAAGTGGATCTCCAAGAGCCCAAGGTGGTTGTTCGTGGTGTCCCTCAACAATCGGACGGGTCGAGCTGCGGTGTTTTCATGCTCGCCTTCGCTTCATTTCTTGCACGCGGCTGTCCACCACCATTTTCGATAGTCCAAAGCAACATTCAAAACATCCGGCTGAGGATTGCGGTGGACATACTCCAAGGCGCTGAATGATAGCACTGTTGTAAAAATACGCGTAGTTTTTTTTTCGAAATGCCATAAGCAGAAGTGCGAATCTATTCCCACTTGATCTAGCAGTCAGCCAGTTCGAGATGTACTGTTGTTTTCATGAGGTGCTGGATTGCAGTGAACGTTTTGGTCAAGTACAGGCTTATGTGTCGATGTGAATATCCTAGCCTCGTGCTGTATCAATTTTTTAAGGGTTCTTCGTTTCGTGGAACCTGTCATCTTTACTCGTAGGAATTTCGAAAGAGTCGTGCTGCCTTTGTTTGTTTTCGGGTTGTTCTCATTGCTTGCCACGCAACATTAGCTAGAGGAAAGCAGCGGACGCGTACGTGAAGTAGAAGCTTAGATGCCAATGTAAATATCGCAGCCACGTGGTGCAGTTCCTTTTAAGTAGACACTCACATATCGGATGTGAATATTCCAACTTTGTGCTCGTTTTGTTTATTTTCGGGTTGTTCTCCTTATGTCCTCTCAGACCGCGGCAGCACTGTGCTGCGTTTGTCCGTTTCGAGGTTGTTCTCCTCTTTTATTCATGTGAAAGATATCGACGATTTATTCTTGGTCGCCAAATTGTTTCGTGCTTATCTCTTTCGTTCGCGAGACTTTGTGGTGTGAAAGCCCCTCTCCCCCGCCCCACCCCGACCACCCAGCTTTCATATGTTTTGGCTCGTCCTTGTTCTGCGAGTGCCGCCCCGTTTTACCGTTCACCCCCTCTGCTTGTCTCGATTGAATGCTGACTGTTGGTTCCGTATGACAGTTGCGAACTTGTTCTCCATTCGGAAACCAATTGTCGCCAGAATGTATGTGTGCTTGAATTTTTTTTACGGATTCAGCACTGCACTGAGTAATCACCAATTTTATTATCCCCGGAATACATCTCGTGCTCTCCACGGAACGCTGGCTGTTGTTTCCGTGTGAGAAATACGAACATATTCGTACTTTGGATGCCGTACATTTGTGATTGAACTGTTGGTTCCATGTGAGAAATGAAAATATATTCGCACTTTGGCTCCATGTACTTTGTGATATTTGGAAAGCCTTCGTGCACTTTGCAATGTGGGATTATATGATATTTCGTGTTCAATGACTTTTTGAAACGTCTCTGTGTGCTTTGCAATTTGCCCTCGAATGAATTTCCTGCATTGAATGGTTTCTGGTACCTGTTCGTGTGCTGTGACACTTCACCTTTGGAAAACCACTAGGCAACTTGAGATATCTTCACCTCGATGTTTGCGATGTCTCTATGTGCTTTGCAATTTGACTTGTGCTTGAAGTTGTTTAACGGATTCAGCGGTGCACTAAATGATTGCCAATTTTGTTATCCCCGGAATACATGTCGTGCTCTCCACTGGATGCTGGCTGTTGTTTCCATACGAGAAATGCGAACATATTCGCACTTTGGATGCCATGCATTTGTGATTGAACTGTTGGTTCCATATGAAAAATGAGAACATATTCGCACTTTGGCTCCATGTACTTTGTGATTTTTGAAAATCCTTCGTGCACTTTGCAATGTGGCATTGTATGATATTTTGCGTTCAATTTGGAAAGTCTTTGTGCTTTGCAATTTGCCCTTGAATGAATTTTCTGCATAGAATGGTTTCTGGAAACTGATCGTTTGCTCTGAGACTTCACCTTTGGAAAAACAGTGCGCAACTTGAGATGTTTTCACCTCGATGTTTGCGATATCTCTGTGTGCTTTGCAATTTGACTTCAGATGGTTTCATCTCGATGTTTGCGATGACAAGACATACTTGTATGAATGAATATGAATCTTCTACACAGAAAGATTTCATGGCGTTTTCAACCTGTGATATAGAAATGACAAGCCAATGTCCATATTAAATCGTCGCGTTGATGGACTGCGCAACTGCTTCTCCATCAAAGTGCGAGTTCAATCACACTTCTCGTGTGAGCCCTGAGCAATTCCCTCGCACTTTGCTTCACGTCGAGGAGGGGATAGAACGCACCGCCTGTAAGCACTTGCACATCACGAAACAAGAGCACGTCCCAAGTGGAACATCGTCGGGTCCTCACCTCATCGACTCTCAAGATGACTACAGCCAACAGCAGTAGGATCGCAGGTCCGCCTATCCGATGTGGATCTCATGGTGGAGTGCAAAACTCTGCTCTCAAAGATCCACACCAGGTAGAAGGTCCTTCAAGCAACCGGTGCTTGCTTGTAAAACATCTTATGATGTGTCGATATGACAGACATCCAGAACTGCTTAGTGAGCATCTAGTAGTGGTACACCAATATGTTCCAAACACGGCACCAAAGTCCCCTGACAGTGTTCTTTGTCGGGTCCTCACCTCGTCGACTCCCTCAAGATGACTATAGCTGACAGCGGTAGGATGGCAGGTCCACCTATCCGATGTGGATCTCACGGTGGAGTGCGAAACTCTGCTCTCAAAGATCCACATCGGGTAGAAGGTCCTGCAAGCAGCCGCTGCTTGCTTGTTAGGCATCTTATGATTTGTCRATATAACCGACATCCAGAACTSCTTGGTGAGCATCTAGTGCTACGCCAATAAGTTCCAAAAACACAGCAGCAAAGTCCACTGAGAGTTTTCTATGCCGGGTCCTCACCTCATCGACTCCCTCAAAATGACTACAGCTAACAACAATAGGATGGCAGGTCCACCTATCCGACGTGGATCTCACGGTGGAGTGCAAAACTCTGCTCTCAAAGATCCATACCGGGTAGAAGGTCCTGCAAGCAGCCGCTGCTTGCTTGTAAGGCATCTTATGATGTGTCGATATAACCGACATCCATAACTGCTTGGTGAGCATTTAGTGCTACGCCAATATATTTTGAACACGACCGCAAGGTCCCCTGAGAATGTTTTTGGCACTGGAGTCCTCTGACCCTGTCTCTTATACACATCTAGATGTGTATAAGAGACAGATACGAACATATTCGCACTTTGGATGCCGTGCATTTGTGATTGAACTGTTGGTTCCATATGAAAAATGAGAACATATTCGCACTTTGGCTCCATGTACCTGTCTCTTATACACATCTAGATGTGTATAAGAGACAGTTTGGAAAGCCTCCGTGCACTTTGCAATGTGGGATTGTATGATATTTCGCGTTCAAT